ACTTCGATGTTATTATACTTCACAACTCTTGCATAAATAGCAGCACCATAAGCTTTTTGGCTAGCATCGCAGAAGCAGCGTAGTTCTAAGATATCGGTTGGCTCTTGTATATTTAAATTGAGCACATTTCTAGGAACTCATAACTCTGAAAGATCAGGAACCTCGGAGCTCCACTGAAGCCATGTTTTTTGTAGATCTACGAGGTATTTCTTTCATCCATAAGAACTTTTTTTTGTTCATAATGAACTTGTAGAATGAGCTTAAGTACGAACGGTTAACGGCGAAAGCAACCCAAGCGGATCAAAAATCCTTCCAATTGTACGTAGTAGCAAGGAATCGTTTGGTACTTTCGTTTTTAGACAGACTGTCCACTAGGCTCTGCTTTCCCAATATTAGACAATCTTCAGCAGGATTCCATGACAGTCCCAAAACTTTAATAGTTTTGACTTGTGGCTGTGTGTCGAAACTTTCACGTGTCCAAAACTGCATCAATGTATTGTCATTCGTAGTCCATTTTCGTAGCACCTTGGCTCATAATTGATGTAGCTTGAGTGGAGATCTCAAAAGCATCCAACACATTATCAGCTCCATAAATAAAATCATCCACATACAAACAGCGGTCTAAGCATTCTATTGTAGTCGGGAATTCTGCAGAGTGCTTTCTCAGGTGAGTTTTTAAAGTAGCAGTCAAAAGGAATGGACTGCTCGTAACACCAAAAAGAACACGATTAAATCTGTAAACTTGAATTTTACCATTTTCTTCCCACAGAAAACGAACTGCATCTCTGTCCTTTTCGGCTAATAAAATTTGTAGGAAAGCTTTCTCTATGTCTGAAGTAAAGGCGACTTTGTTTAATCTGAAATTAACAAGAATGTCGAATATGTTCGAATTCAGGTTTGGCCCTGACCACAGGCAATCATTTAGACTTAAATGCTTAAAGTTATGACTGGAACTTGCATCAAATACTATTCTCATTTTTGTAGTTGCACTTTCCTCTCTAAAAACTGGTTGATGTGGCAAATAGAACACAGGTTTATCAACAGGTTCTTTAGGACATCTAACTTTCTCTATAATATTCTTATTTTCATAGTCTTTTAAAGTTTCAATATACTGCAAATGAAGATTTGGATCTTTTTGAAGTCTACGCATAAGTAAATTAAGTCGCTTTTTTGCAACGATGAAGTTATTATTGAGCTCTCCCCAATCTCTTTTCCATGGTAATTGAACCTCATACCGGTTATCTTTAAAACGAACAGTTTTTTTTCAAATGTTTCTAATGTTCTAAAGATTGATCTATCTCATTTTCACTGGGATCTATCTTCTCAGGGATCATCTTTAATTCCTATAGACTCAAGTTGCCAAAATTTTTTAATTTCATTTTCTATATCACTATAATTATTAATTAATCCACAGTGAACTGCTTGCTAATCCACAATGAACTGCTCGCGTATTTTCAGTCTCTGAACCTAAAATGCTGCCAGTGGCTATAGAGCCAAAAACAGAATTTTGAAATCTTAGCTCTGAATTGGGCACTTCAACTGACCGAATTTTAAGATCTGATAAAACACCTCTGCGCCTAATAATGCATCAATTTTTCCTCTTTTATAAAAGTTTGGATCAGCAAACTTAATGTTTTGAGGAAAATGTTCAGTCGGAACTTCTATATTATTGATTGGTATGGAGTCCGAGATTTTAGGCACGCACAAAAATTCTAAACTCATTTCATTTGAAAAAGTCAATACCGTTTGAAATAGAAGCACATACTTTAGAATTAATATTTATTCTCGTGTTATTTAATCCAGAAACCGCAACAGATATTTTTTCTCTTTTAATCCCTAACGAATTAGCACATTCAATCGTTAAGAATGACGTCATCGAACCTACATCACACAAAGCGCGAACTGATTTTAATTCACCATAAGCAATCTCTTATTAAAATATTCGCAGTAGCAAAATAGTGACAATTCCGTTTAAGTAAAACATTTTTGGTCTGACGCATTCCGTTTACAGCTGTGCCGGCGAAAATACTTTCTTTATTGGTAGAAGAAGAGTCATAAACAAATTTTTCAGCATTCGGATTGAGACTGACTGTCGTCTTCTCCCCCCCCCTACTTCCGGCTTTGAAATATGAGCACTTTCGGATTTATTTTGTTTTTCATTTTCGAAATGTAATAGCGTTGAATGCTTTCGTGAGCATTTTTGACATCGATAATTAGACGAACACGTTCGAACGGAATGGTTTTTCAAACAATTAAAAGCAAAGCTTATTTCTTTTCACGAATTCACACCTGTCATTGACAGAAAGATTTATAAATTCCGGACACACTTATATAATGAATGGAATTCTTCACCACGGCACTTTATGCATTTCAAAATTTATGTTTTTCGTATTAGAAGTGGATATCATACTCGTAAGTTTTTTTATGTGGAGAATTATTACTCTTTTTTACCTCCTTTATTTTACTATTTTGAAGCGTTCTCGCTTGACTTTTTAAAAACGAAAGTAATTGTTCAATCGTACCAAATTCTTCCGAGTTTTTTTAATTCCTTTTTCCCACCAGTATCGAGTTGATTTATCAAACTTATCCACTATTAAATATACTATCATTATTTCCGATAAGTTTTCTACCTTGTAGTTTAAAATATTTAAAGTTCGAATACATTCGTTCGTTACATCAATTAAATTTAGAATAGAACTAGATGTCTCGCTAATACTCGGCTGATTCAAAAGCTTTTTTATTATAGCATTTAAAAGCTCACGTTTATTCGAATACCTATCTTCTAAAAAGTTTCCAAGCTATATCGAAATTTGTATCCGAAATAGAAATAGACTGTATTACTCTCAGAGCTTCGTCCTTACAACTAGCTTTTAAATATTGCAATCTCATTGCATTACTCGAAATAGATTTGTTTTCTATTACACTAGCTTTAAACATATCTTTAAACATTATCCAATTCTCTATTTTACCATTGAATGTTGGTACCGATAGCGTCGGTAACTTAACATCCGAAAACACATTTGAATTATTATTACTTGGCACAGGAGAAACAGAATGTTCAGAATTCATCTTATTTTTTACTTCTGCTAATTTACGTTTAATCATCAATAGCAACTCATCAACAATATCATCTGTATCTTCTTTATCCTTAATAAAGTTATCCAATTCTTTGGGTTTACATGTTTCGAAAATTGAATAAAATACAGATTTAAGTTCGTTAGAAATTTCATTAGTTTTGGTTTCAAATAGCTGCAACGCAACTGAATCTGAAACATCTAATGACGTAACAACTTTATCTTTATGCCGCATCAATGAACTTTTTAACACTCTTTTTCTAGTTTTTAGAGCTTCCATATTTATAACAGTTATACTCTGCAAATTTAATAGAGATTAAAATGGGAGAGCTAACCTTCGATTCTCGACGGCACGCAATGAACTGGAAGTTGATCTGCCAGCACTATCCTTATCTTCAGGGCAGATGTTTTTATTTTATTCGGCTTATAAATCCTTACTAAATGCAGTATTTCATCTCGAGTACTCCGTCTTTATGATTTAAATCAAATTCCTCGTCATTATAAATATCACGAATACACATCAAATAGTTTTCTGGTTGCAATTTTCTAATTTCGACTATGCGTAATGTATACTTTACACATGCGCACATTGAAAGAAATGTTTAATAAAGTAAACAAATAAATTTTAAGCTTCTTTTTTGTGAATTTTGATACCCTTAAGAGACATAATTTCTCTTTATTTCATAAATTACGGTTTCATATTTTTAATTTTATAATTTCTGCATGCCATCTTACCAGATTTAAATTGATGATCTATAATCCGGAATCACCGAAGTCCCGACGAGTCCGGATTAAAGAGTTTTGACTGTAAATGTTTTTTAAAAACTAAAAGTGCACCCTCATTATTCTATAGTCTGTAACAGTTCAGAGGGTCATTGACATCGTACTGATAGATTTTGATAACGGGGTTATCTATCATTTTTTTAATTTCATAAAAGTTCTTGGCAAGCTAGTAATAACAGGTTCTTAGTAGTTAAACCTTTCAGTTCGTGATGAATTTTGTTAATATGTACATACCATATCGAATGTGTCATCTAATATGCCAAACTCTGGAGGGGCAGTAAGCCTGAAAATATCTGTAAAGGGCATCACTACTAAATTGGTGAGTTATATTATAAACAGGCAAATAATTTTAAATGGGAAACCAGTCCTATAGATTTTTTAAACATACAGAGATTAGGTTCTTGATTTGTATGTCAAAATGTTTAGGAAAGCAATTGGCAATAATGTCTTTCTAATGGCTGAGATGCTTGTCCTCATCGCATTGTATTAGTGATTGATTATCTTGAAGTCAAAGGAATTCAGCAGCTGGAGTGGCCTAAATATTTTCAGGATTTAAAGTAATATCTCTGATATGTGCGGATGCATTAAACCACCTACTTGCATCACTGCTTCCTCTACTTAAAACTATTCAGTAGATACAAGGTGTAGTATTCATCATGAATGTATTTTGTTACTGTAAGAATTCCTGGGCAGTACAACATGTAAAATTGCTCTAAAGCTTACATTTTAATTGGAGATGATACAAATGGTATTAATTTTTTCTGTGTATCTCTAAAAAGCTGTAATACCAACTTTTTTGTATTGTCCTTTGTATCGCATTACTTATTTTCTTATGTATATATATAAGACCATCAGTAATGTGAGACATGACAAAATAATGATGTTGTAAAAGTTCCATGTTTTTAGCTGTAAAATGATTCATATTGTATGAGTTTTTATAGTTTTTCCTAAATTTTTTCTTGCTTGTGTATTTGGTTTCAAGGATTCTTTTACTTGGTCATTTAGCTACAGAAATTAAATATAGATTTTAAGTGGAAACAATGATTTAGTCGTAAATTGATGATTATACTAAGCAGTTCATTAAAATGCTTATTATTAATTGCATGTTCAATTCATTTTTTATTATAATTTTGTCTAGGATAGAAATTCAGATGTAAAAAGATACATCTAATATGCTGTAAGAATATGGAAACATCATCAAAAGGTAATTTTATTTTTGTGTGAACTTTTCACATGTTTATATAAGTATCATATTTACTTGTGTATTTCCCCTGTTTTTATTGATTTCTAAAAATTAAAAAGAAAAAATTAGCGATATCATAGCTGCCAACTTTTTTCATTGCATCTTCTGACCTCCCAGTAAATCACGGAATTTCACACATTAAAATCTTAGCCATTACTGAGGAAAATATTTCCCAGAAATTGATGAAATTCATTGAATCAATAAAACTTAAAATGTACAAATTCCATTTCTAATTAAAGCATAATGTTTTTTACTTAATTTTATGTAATCTGATCTACAGTCAAAAGTCGTTAATTCGGACACCCATAATCCGGACCTCAAAGCTAAAAACTTTCTGCGCATGCGCCGTGTTGGCACATGCGCACAGGCGTTTTACGCGTGCGCGTAAGACCTTGACTACTGCGCATATGCGTGTGCGCAAGTGCAGAATACGTTTTCGCCTGCGCGTTAATGTATAACGGACGGTCTAAGCTAAAATTATCTATTTCAGCTAATGTTCATGATTGCGTTGTTCCTTAATCTTCGAATTGGATCCCGCTTATTATTTTTTGCAGACTGTAAGAGCAATTTTTATAAAAGTAAACTTGAACTTTCGATTATGTCAAATAGAATTTCGATGCTGGAACTCCAAAGGATCTACAAAACGAAAGTATGTTTCGATGTCCAACAAACAAAAAAGTGGAATTGCTGCAAAAAATGGATAAAGACATAAAGAATGTGACAGAGAGGTTAGTGAAAACAAAAAAAATTTCGATTGACAGTTAGTCGGTATTCTCGGCACAGCAATTAACGGGACTTGAATAGCGGAACTTTGTAATTGAACAAGAAATTATGTCTGTTTATAGAATTAAAGAGAAAGTATTATCACATAAAACGAAGCAACTTAAACAACTTACATTGAAAGAAATGTTTAATAAAGTAAACAAATAAATATTAAGTTTTTTTTTTTTTTTTTTTTTTTTTTGTAAATTTTGATACCCTTTAGATCATAATTGTTCTTTATTTCATAAATTACGGTTTCATATTTTTAATTTTAGAATTTCTGCATGCCATCTTACGAGATTTAAACCTGATGATCTATAATCCGGAATCGCCGAAGTCCCGACGAGTCCGGATAAACGACTTTTGACTGTATTATCTATTGTAGGATTTTGTAGAATTTTTAGTGTTGGATAAATTAATATATGTATTTTTCTTTGTTTTACATAAATGTATGGTGCATTATTAAGTTTATCCATTAATATCTCTATATACTGTGGAAAGAAAAAAAGAAAAAGGGAGGACAGTTCTATGTCTTCCGTACTAATGGGCCGATTAGTGAAATTCAAATTGCGTTTTTCATGTCTCAAAAGCACGACTTAGGATATATATTAGATTTATATATAGCACTATCTAACATAGGGTATTTGACACAAAATCGGACTTTTCTGAAAGAATGCCATATTTTTTTTTTATATTCGATTCTATGACTCAAATATGCCAGACTACCATTTTGTAAAAACCACAAGTAGTTTTTAAAAAATAGCTCCTCAGTGTAATTGAATTTGGTATATATATTTAATATCTCATTTTTTTATTAAATTTTTTATTCTTCCTTTACCATTTGAAATTAGTTCATTCCAAATAAAAATCACCCATTTTTTATGATTTATTTAAAAATTTGATTTTTAAATAATTTTTATATATTAAAAAAAAAAAAAAAAAAAATTAGTTTAACCTATAAAATGTTTACCATCATTTAACGTAGGTGTATTTCCAAGCATACCTGCAAAAAAAATAGACTTTTTTTTTCAAAATTTTCTAAGATACAGTCAAAAGTCGTTAATCCGGACTCATCGGGACTTCGGCGATTCCGGATTATCGATTTTCCGGATTATAGATTCAGTTTAAATCTCGTAAGATGGCATGCAGAAATTCTAAAATAAAAATATGAAACCGAATTTATAAAAATGAGCATTATGATATAAAGGGTATCAAATTTAAAAAAAAAAAAAAAAAAAGCTTAATATTTATTTGTTTACTTATTAAACATTTCTTTCAATGTAAGTTGTTTAAGTTGCTTCGTTTTATGTGATACTTCTCTTTAATTCTATAAACAGACATATTCTTGTTCAGTACAAGTTCGGTGTTAAGTCTAATTGCTGTGTCTACCGACTAATTGTCAATCGAAATTTTTTCGTTTTCAATAACTCTGTCACTTTCTTTGCTATCGGTAGCGAATTATGATGACGAGGATTGATTTAAAACCATATCAAGATGGAGTACATCGAGATTATGTTTATATATATATATAAACATAAATTTTTACATTAATCCTTGTAGAAAGAATGTTTTAAACAGTAATTTTCTGTCGTGTTGTAGATTATATAAATAACATCTACTTTAATAGAAATTTTTAGGCTTAAAAACTCTAAATAATATGATTAAGGTTTTTTTTTGTACCCGGTATAAGAATTGGGGCACTCGGTGATACAGGATAAGCACTGCTGGAGTGGTTTATTTCTTTCACATTTAACAAAAATCTTTTAATTCAAATATTTGTATTTGGTTTTAAATTTTATTTATAGTTAAAATGTCCAGAAGCTGACTTCAGCTGAAATGCATTTAATGCAAGTGATATTTCAAAAAAATTTTTCAAGAATGCAAAATTTATGGAAGTGTAACAATCTAAAAATCTTAATTTTCTTGTGTTAGCACTGAAAACAAATGTAGAAGGAAAAAAGGAAATTGGGGAGGCAAAAATTTAAAGGGAAATCTACTTCAAGGAAGTTGGGTGTTCAAAGAGAAAAAAACACTTGGACATGTACACCAGCAAATAATAGCAATTTGAATTTATGCTAATGGAAAAGACAAAAACGATAACATTGCAGATTAAAGTGAAGAGCGACTGGTTTTCGACTATGTGGTTGTATAAATTTAAATTATTTCATGGAACATCATATCATATCATAAACGGAGCATCCCATGATTTTTCACTCGAATTATATAAAGATTCCAGAATTTATTCAGTAATATAGAATATCAGCTAGAGACATTTTCCGTCTTGATGAAACCAGTCTTTCCTCTTATCTCACACCTTCAAAATGCTTAGCTTGTAAAGACCGATAAAAGCTCTGACCAAATACTCATGAAATTGATTGATTTGTATTATTAAGTAACGGCAAAGCCGGGATAACTGCCTTAAAGGAGGGGATGCCTGTGGGAAGAAATTTCTAAGCGAACCCAACTCGTATACATGTTACACATGAGAAAAACCACGAAAACGCCCATGCAACCTGCCCATTCGCCGGGATTCGAACCCTGGAGCAAACTACCAGTATTCAGCGACCTTTACCGCTCGGCCGTTTGTGGGCCATTTTGAAATGGAAGTCGATAAATTTATTTAAAATTAATGTCAGAAACACCAAGATGTTTCAAAAAGTTGGATGCTTTTTAATATACTTGCAGAATGTCAGGGAAAAAAAAGGGCTAGCCATTAAGAAGAAAAAATAAATTTTTGCATAAAATTTAGTATATTATTAGTATTTTTTTTTTAATTTCAAACTTTTAATCTTATGATATTTGATTCTTGCGATTTCAAAAATAAATATTTGACTAAAATATGAATAACATTTTAAGAAACAAAACATGTAGAGGATAAAAATTGTGTAAAGCAATGGGCACAATGATAAAACTGTTTAAAGCAGTGTATGCAAGTCATCCTAAGTTAAAGTGTTGAATATACATCTCTCTTATTTATATATATCTTTTCTGAACGGAACATTGAAAGGCGTGTTTGTAACTGTATTTTCTCTTTTAATATATGCAGTTTTCAAACGCATCGTAGTCTGGGTTACAAAGTATTCTTCCGAAAGAAACGCAATTCAAATAAATAAAATCAAATTCTGGAAAATTTATATTAATAAATATATTTAAAATGCTCAGTTCGAATGAATAAATAGAAAATTTTAAAAATTATCTGAAGAGACAATGCAACACTAACAATTAAATAAAAGTCTAAAAATTAAAAATTACCTAAATAATAACTATGACTAAAAAAATAAATATTAAAAAAAAAACTATTTGAAAAAAATAAAAACGATGCACCTTTGATTTAAACTACGCAGTTCGAATGAGTAAATAGAAATTTTTAAAACAGTTATTCGAAAGAAACCATGCAACTTAAACAATTAAAATGAAATTCGAAAAAGAAAAAAAAAATATTTACAATAACATAAAATATAATATAAAAAACGTTATTTGAAAGAAAGAACGTGTCACTTTTTCCCCTCTTATGCACAATGTAAAAAGGAAAAGAAAAATAGATTGTCATATATTAAGAAGCCAACCAGCGACCGAGCGGTAAAGTCGCTGAACAGTGGTAGTTCAGTCTGAGGTTCAAATCCCACGAACGGGCTGGCTGCATGGGTGTTTCTGGGGTTTTCCCCATGTGTAACATGTATATAAGCCATTTTCCCTTAGAAAGTCCTCCACAAAGGCGTCCCTCCCCTTAGGCAGATAACCCTAGTTTGCTTTGCCATAATTAAATATGCACACACACACCATATATTAAGAAGTGTGCCTTGGCTGAAAAAAAGTGGCAATATAAATTCTTGAATTTCTCCATAAATTTTGCACCAAATTGTACAAAATTTAATATTTAGGCATAATTTCAGTTGTAGATTTGAAATATGTAAAAAAAATTGGTATGTTGTTTCGGGAAAAATCTGATTTTGTGTCAAAATACCTATGTTAGAATAGTGCCCTATATAAATCTAATATATCCTAAGTCGCGCTTTCGAGACGGGAAAAACGCAATTTGAATTTTGTCAATCGGTCCAGTAGAACGAGAGAGATATAGAAGTGTCCCCCCTTTTTTTTTCTTTTTCTGCAGTGTATGTTAATTTTACTATTGTTGCATTTAAAAGGTACTTGGATAAATTAAAGCTCACATTCCCTACTTGGTATAAAAGTGTAAAACA